GACGACAGCTGCCCTGCCTATATGAGAGTCTTCATAAAGAAAAGATTTTCTCCGGCATGCTTTAACCTTGCATCTCCCTCCACAAGGCTAAACCTCGTTTGGTCTTCGGAAAGTAGACGCAGGTCCGATCTCTTCCGTAGATCAGCTTTTCTTTGATAAGTTTTATTAATGTGCAAGCCGGTCGACATAATTAACACTAATTAAAAAAATACAGGGCGTCTACTTAAATATGGGTATCTACAAAATGATTTGAACGAGAAGGAGTTCATTGTTCAAAAGGGTAATTGATCTAAGATGTTTAAAGCTCCTTGGATCAGACGGTGGTCTCCCCTTACAAAGGGCGAAGCAGGTTAGAAACAGGTTGCAGGGCTCATTTTCTTTATTTCCTCTCAAATGCGCAGGCCTGGTAGCTGTAATAAAACGTGCATTAGAAGAAGACCATGCGTCTCATCAAACTAAAAATATCGTTTCGAGAAATAAGAAATAAAGTCTGATAAAAAAAAGAAAATTCATTAAATCCTTATAAATAATAATTTTGCATCGAACTACATACAGCAATATTTAATAGGAATAGATAGGTTCGCCTATCGCCCGGTTCCCACTCCTCCACGGTCTGTTGAACAGGAGTAAAGGTTTATACCCTTCTTTCCTGTTTAGGATTAGGTTTCCGGTTCCTTCCAAAGTCTACTTACAGACTATACTTGCAATGTCTCCGACTGAACTCTGAAAATGTTATTCATTAATTAAATCTTGACAACTTCAAGAGCTGGCCGTTGTCGTTCCTACATGACCTCAGGAACATTTACTTTTTTCCCTTTTCTTACGCTAATACAACTCAACACAGTAACCCTCTAACTTGAGTTGCGCTTGGGCATTGTTTCGGGTTAAATTCGTAAAGAAACTTGATTCTGATAATTTTCATTCTCAGAAAGATTTGTACTGAAGACGTTCACATATCAAAACATATCGAATTTACATCACAAATTATCATATGGAATTCACATATCGAATAATCGAATTCATATATTGAATCATATGGAATTCAAATAGCGAATTATCATATCGAATTCACATATCGAATCATCGAATTCACATATCGAATCATATCGAATTTACATGTCAAATTATCATATTGAATTCTCATAATGAATTATCATATCGAATTCACATATTGAATCATCGAATGACATATTGCATCATCGAATTCACATATCAAATCACTGCAATTGCTGGTGTCGAAAGTGTTGGTCGAAAGGTACCTAAGGTACAACATGACGTCCGTTTTGTTTAAATCTATGTATTATTTCTATGGGTACAAATTACTTTTTGTATATATATATATATATATATATATATATATATATATATATATATATATAAATGAACATTGGGATGTGACATCCCTGTATTTTAAAATGCCACACAAGTATGGAATTCTAACCTGTAAGCATTCAGGAATACGACACACAAGACATCACCAACATTATACATTTCATACTCACACACAGCATTTTTAAGT